CATCTGATTTTATGAAAAATTAAAGTGTCTTAATAAATTAATTTCTTCCTTGTAAAGCCAACTGCTTCTCTTGGAGGAAAATGTGCAGTTTCTTTGGAATTTCATTCATCAATTTGCTTGTCATTTTGGATCCGAAAGAGGCTTTGAAAAATGCTACCTTCTCTACCCTAAACATGAAACAAGCACGGGTTTGCGAGGGTGGGTTTTAATGTCGACTTGCCACAAATTAGAATCACCTGAGCAGGGCCGCAGCTGAAGAATTGTCCCATTGTCTTCACTGATGTGGGAAAACCTGCCCAAATGTGGCCACCGCCTTCTGAGAGCAGCTGAGTCAAAAAAAAGGCACTGCAGAAGAAACAGTATTTCCCCTTCACTTGCCTGGCCTTCCCGCTTGCCCACCAGTTGATTTACTTGTTGCTGCTGCTGACTCCTTTGCTGACATCAGGACCAGCGTTTCCAGACCTCCATCTTTGACTAAGGACCAGCAGCTCTCCAGGAACCCTCCAGATTTTAGACACCACACCTCATGGACTAAGCAACGACCGTGGCCTCAGCCGCTCAAATGTGAGACTCTAATGTTGCTATTTCAACATAAGCTGATATAATAATACAAGCTAGGCCATCTTTGTGATTGAAGAGATAATGTTTGTTTTGTTTTGTTTTGTTTTCAAAGTAAGAGACATCCCTCCACAACAAAATAGACCAGTTATTGGGTTGTTTGTCTTAGAGATCACAGACTGGGTTTGTGCCTCAGCTGCTGGATCAGTTAATGGCATAGGGGTAATTTAAACACTTTGTTCTAGTATTATAGTGAGGGGACTGAGGGAGAAAAAGCTTTCAATCCTGTTTGGCATATTCAGAGTATTAGCTATGGTTATATATTATTATTGTCAAGCAGAAAGAGTGCCAAATCCAATGACTGCTGTTATTAAAAATACATAAAATGTGTATAAGCTCCATTTTGAAAATTTTGTTTCTTTGTTGAGCACCTGAACTAGAACTTTGCAATTTCAGTCTGAATGACCGTGGGAATGTTAATGTTTAAAGGAATGATGAGCAATTCCTGAGTGCCTGGGTGACCCTGACCTTGCTGACGTCAGGGCCCTGGCCCTCACCTCTTCTCCTTGCCCTTCACAGCCCCCCAGACTAGTGTTGGGTCACTGTACCATCCCTGCTGTCTCTGTAAACTCTCCTGTGATTATGCTAATCTGAGTGGCCATCTGTTTCCTGTTGGGACCAGGAGTTACACTATCACTTTACACCCTCATTAGCGGCCAGTTTCTAACATGTTCTGCTTTCTGCTTTGAATATGTTGGTTTGAATGAGAAATGTCCCCCATAGGCTCAAGTGTTTATATAGTTGGCAGTGCTGTTTGGGGGAGTTATGGAACCTTTAGGTGGCGGAGTCTTGCTGGAGGAAGTACTCACAAATCAGGCTTTGAGGGTTTCTAGACTCTCCCCACATTCTGATCCCTCTATGTGTGGATAAAAATGTCACCTGTCAGCTTCCTGTTCTGTCCCCTGCTTTCCTTGATTGTGGCTAGATCTTCCCCACCATAACAGACTCTGTCTCTCTGGAACCAAATAAACCCTTTTGTTACCTAACTTGTTTTCTGTCAGGATCTCTTATCACAGCAATAAGCTAGTAACTAACACAAGTATTTGTTTTTGTCTATTTGATTTTGTTTTAAAAAAATAAATGTTTGGTCTTTATCCTATTGTCTCTGAACGTCTTTGATGACTAGTGGGCTGGCTCTTTTTCACATTTATTCACATTTTTCTTCTCTTTTTATGAATCACACATGTCCTTTGTCTATTTCTCTAAAACCTTGGTGTTTTTCCTCTAGGTTTGAAGGATCATTTCCTGTATATTTACTGTTTGGACAAAGGGACAAATATCTGCTCAAGTTAGCTTATGCAAGAATGGAAATTTAAGGACACAGGATGTCTCTCAGGGGACTAAATAGAAAGATTAAATTAAGTCTCAGGAATGCATAGAATTAGAGACCAGAGTGTGCTGCTGGGGCAGAAAGTCTTCTCTCATTTATCCTCTTCTTTGCACATCAGCAGCATCCTGTATACTTTCCTGATCACACAGTGAACAATGGTCACTACACAACAGCTCCAAGATGACTCCATTATTCAAAAGAGCAGCTAATAGACTTGGGAATCCCAGACTCAATTCTAAGTCCCAAGTCAGGTGACCAGAGGAATGAAGGTCAAGTCCTGATAAGATGAACAACCACTGAACCACATGGATAAAGAATCAGGAAGTTCAGGCCAGGCTTGGTGGTGGTGCTGATCCCAAGCACTCAGGAGGCAAAAGCAGGCAGATCTCTGAGTTAGAGACCAGCCTGGTCTACATAGCCAGCTCCAGGACAGCCAGGGTTATAGGGTGAGACTCTGTCTCAAAAAAACAAACAAAAAAAGAATGGGGAAGTGCCCTGAAAAGCAGGGTACAATGTGTAGATCACAAAATTGTTTTCTAAGGTTTGAAAGCTTAGTATGTGAAAAGATTAATAATTTTAATGAACACTGCTATGCCTATGAAAGAGTGTGTCTAATGTCTAGCAAGTTTAAGTAACTACCTATAAATATAAGAGAGTGCCAGTTCAGTGTGAAAGGCACATTCGGGTTTTATCATTTCTGAGAGGTTCGACTTTGATGTTTTCATACAATGGTAGGCATAACAAGGACTGTTGATTACAGTGCATAGTCACTAGCATAAATTCCACCTCCACTAATTAAATGTCAGCACTGTTAGGGAAAGAGGAATTTACTGCTTGGTTGAATTTACTGCTTGTAACCAATTAACTCAACTGGAGACACAGGCATCCGGAGATAGGGGCAAATGCTGCAGCCCCCGGAGCCTGACCTGTCTGATCTGTGTCATGTCACATAGACATGTCTGCTTACACAAGATAACAGGGAAGGGTCACGCCAGGCACATACCACCCATCCCTCCCCGATTGAGACACCTGAAGGGAGTTGTAACATTTTTTCTTGTTTTGAAGTTATTGGTTTATGAAATGCTTGCTTTGAAACTATTGGTTGTATAAGCGCGGGCTTTTGTGTAATGGATGTGGGAGCCTATATAATCTCTACCTGAAGTTGCCTCGGGGTCGATCGCTCCAACCAGACCTGCGTGTCTTGGAAGGACGGTCGGCCCCAGCTATCTGACCTAATAAAACTCTGCTTGATTTTGCATCTCCATACTCATGCATTTGTTCTCCTGAAGAGACCCACCGAGTCACAGACCCTAACAAGCACAATCTCACAAAATAGAATAAACTAATTAAATGAATCTTCAAACACAAGCAAGGCTATGGGCTGACAGCCGAGCAGCCCAGCTAGAGCAGTGGTTATGACTAGCAAGGCTGTGGTGCTCCAGGCAAAACCCAGCATCTTAAGCTCAAATCTTTCTTTTGCAGAGATTAGTATTTGCATAAAAATAAAAGGCTAACAACAAAACTACTCCCACTAAATAGTCACCGCATTGTAAACAACACAAGGCTTTTTCTTGTTCAGCAAGACAGTAAGGAGTGGGCAGAGGAAAAGCTGAATAGCAGCTGCCTAATCTTTTGCAAGGCACCCAGGTTTATCAGTCTCTAACATTTCAGTGGTTTCTAGATTTCTGGTGGATATCAGAGGTGGATATCGAAGGACCCTCAGAGAACACGAAAAGTGAAAGGCTCCTTAGGGACCAAGGACCCTTCACTTTGACACAGGCCGCTTCTAGATCCCTTTTCAAATGAACCTCTAAGCTTTCCAGTGAGCCACCCATCCTCTGATTCTGCTTGTAAGTCTCATATACTGTTTGAGATGTCTAGTCTCATTCAATCCATGTTTGTGCTATATCCCATGTCCTGGAATAGCCATGTGCTTCCTCCTTCATTTCTGTCCTGGTAAACCTGTATTCCTTTACTAGTGGTACCATGTCTAGCTCTGTCTCTCTTCCTCCCTTGGCCTGGATGGCTTGGCCACAGTTCCAGTGCAGCTGTTATGTTGTGGTACTGCACAAGGGCTGGTCTACTCCTCAGGTGATGATTATCAATGTGCTGCTAGCTGCTCCCATTTAGCCCTTTAGATTGCTCTGTCAAAATGGTTCTGGGCCTTTAAATAATTTTCTTCTACTCAACAGCTCTGAAGCTTTGTTAATAGAGGGTGCTGGAGAGACATTTAAGGAGGAAAGAGGGTTTTGCTTCCGGTTCGGTTCGGACGCGTTCACTTAGCAGGCTTCTAAGGTATGGACATTGGTGGCTCTTCAGCACTGGTCTTCTCCCATATGTGGCTTCTCCAGCATCTGCTTGAGTTCCTCTAGTAACATAGGAGTCACATAGTTGGAAAAGCAGAGAACAGCCAGAACAGGTACAAATGGTTTCTTAAACTAAGCCGAACTCTGCCTATCCAGTCTTGAGATGGGTTTCCTTGCTCTGATACAACATATTATACAAGGACATTCTTTCTCATGATACTGTCTCAGGTATTTCAATGTAAATATCTGAATCTGGGGATGCAGTTCAGTCACACAAAGCTCTTATCTTGATTCCCAACATGGCATAAACCTGGTGTGATGGTATGTGTATATAATCCTAGCACTCAACGAGGGAGAGGCAGGAGGATCAGAAGTTCAAGGTAATTTTTGGCTATATAGGAAGTTCAAGGCCAGCCTGGACTACATAAGACTCTCTAAAAAACAAAACCCAAAACTCAGTTTTCATTTGCTTTCTTTTATAAAACTTAAAAAAAATTTAGCTCCTTGGGGCTGGAGAGATGGCTCAGCAGTTAAGAACACTGCTCTTCCAGAGGATCAGGGTTCGGTTCCCAGCACTCACCACTCACATGGTGGTTAACAACAAACCATAACTCCAGTTCTAGGGAATCCAACACCATCTTCTGGCTTCTTCTGTCAAAGTATGACATGGGTACACTAACATACATGCAGGCAAAATACTCATACACATAAAATTAAATAAATCAAAAATTCAGCTCCTTACTCACCTCCATATGAACCTTCAACATTTCATTTGCCTTCACTAATGGCCGGTGCTGACAGGATCTGGAGTCAACCTGGAGACAAGCCTCTAGCCACACCTGGAAAGGATTATTTAGCCTCTGATTCTGTCTGTGAAGGATTATCTTTATTAGTTTAATTGATGTGAGATGACCCATCTTAAAACTATGGGTGGGACCATTCCTTGGGTGGGAATGAAAGCCAGCAGAGCACAAGTGTTCATCATTCTCTGCTTCCTGACTATGGCTGCAATGTGACCGGCCACCTCATGCTCCTGCCACCATGACTTCCCTGCCAGGATGATGGTCTCCTCAAACATGAGCTAAAATAAATCTTTTCGCCCTTAAATGTCTTTTGTGAGGGTATTTTATCACAGCAACAGGAAAAGTAACTAAGACCCAATGTGTATCAGTGACTCGTCAACTCCTTTTTAAAAGTACTGCTCCAATAACAAAACAGTGCCCTGCTTCAGCCTGAGAGTCCTGTTGTGATGTAATGGCTCCACACTTCACCTCCCCTCAGGCCTGCAATACGAGTGTTCTGGAATCCTATCTTCACAAGGCTTGTAGGTGAACTCAAACTCCAGATCCTTTGCACACAGCCCCAAGCCAGGATTGGCTCACACTATACTCCTCTCCCCCATTAAGAGAGACAGCCTTTTCTAGCACAGCTAAAGTGATTTTCTTCTACTAACCTTTTCTTCTACTAACTTTGGCTAATACATGTTTACCAACGCAGATCAGTGTGCTGTTGTGAGGGATGAAAACAGTAAGCCTTCGGAGGGCGACAATTCCTGAGAATGAACAACGGTCTCTCATATTTTGACACTGCCAGGCAGGGTCAGCTCATGTTTGTATCAATATTATCATACAGTTCAAGTATAGCGTATAAGCGCTTATTACATAGGTTAGTTCTCTAAAGCAAGCCTTTCATTAAAGCCTTATTAACATTTCACTGACACAGCTATGGAGTATCTGAGTTCAAGGGTGCACTAGTATTGATGGAAAACTTGCCATCCCATTAGGTGAAATAATAATTGTTCTGAAGCATAAATAGAAAAGAAATGTGAGAGAAAACTTTTCTAATATCTCAAAATTACCCATTTAATACTGATCAACAGCAATAACCATGCCTGATAAATCAAAAAGAAAAAGCATGCATAAGGAAAAATATGCGACTGAGCAAATGTGGACAGGAAATATACACAATCATGCTGATGCATCTCTCTGAACATACCCTGGCTTACAGTAGATTATTTTTGGTTTTATAGATTTTATTCCAAGACACAATATCCTTCAACTAACAGCCTAAGTATCTGTAATTTCATGTTTGGGGGCCATATTTATAACAAGCTAATGAAATGTCATTAAACTTTTATGTAAGGATGACTTTTATAAAATGGACATAATCTGGACTAATGACTTTTAGTTAACCCCAGCAAAACCATGTGCTCTTGTATCTTGTGACCCAGATACCTGATCTTATTTCCTAACAACCTCAATTTGGTACTCTACCTAAAGAGATAATGAATGAATGTAGGTGTGCTTGAGAATTAGTATACCAAAGCATACCCATCTCTATTGCACACAGAGAAGATTGGGGAAGACATGTGGCCTTGGGTGAATGAGATATTCTACAACTAGGGATAAAAAAGCAGGATGGTCTGTTTAGATTAGGGTGGAGCCAAGCTTGTACTTCTCCAGCTGAAGCTAATGAAACCATTTTGAATAAAATCATGGGTGGGGCCTGACTCAAGGACACACTTCAAGAGATGCTGGTTCCAACAAGACAGTTCCAGAGGCATCTGGGGGAACGAGTGTCCTTCAGGTTTGGACCCACTCTTAAAAGCTAAATTTAAGAAGTCAGGCTTTTTGTTCAAGTAATTGTAATGCTGACACAGTAATACCACACTTATATACTAGAAATTCACGGTATCTCTCTAAATGTTTACTATCACTCACATATCTACTCATCACAATTCTTCTAAAGGAAATTGTTCCTTAAAATGGCATTGTCAGCATCTTATTTCAGCTGTGCTTGTCACATAAGCTTGAATTCTGGCCTCAAATGCTAACTGAACTATTACAATGCTTTTCTCTCTCTTCTTCAGCTTAGAGTACATCAGAGAGACTACACCCTTTCCTATTAAGTTACAGCCCTGAGGGCTGCTGCTGATGAACCCAGCAAAGTGTCAAATGTTCCTGTTCCAGCCAAATTAAAAATGCTACAATGCCATCATTAACTTTTATATTTTCAGGAAAAAATAGTGTTTCCCTGTGGTGGCGCACACCTTTAATCCCAGCAGAGGCAGAGGCAGGTGGATCTCTGTGAGTTCAAGGCCACCCTGGTCTACATAGTGAGTTCCAGGACAGCTGGGGCTACAGAAAGACCCTGTCTCAAAAAGACCAAAAAAAGAGGTGTTTCCCTGTAAATATCTCTTGCAAAGGAGCACCTGGAGTGCCTTGGAAATTTACTGATTGCCAAAACACAGCTACCTTGTTTCTGGCCAACAGGATTATGGAAAAGACATCTAAATTTCCACTGGAATCTGGTTTTCCTACTTCCATACCTCTACCAGATTTTAGCTGGAATGTGGCTCCTGGTAAGGTCTATGCAGCACAGCCCACAGCCATGTGCTACATTCAATGAAATATTCAATGGAATACGAGCTCAAGTGACACATAACACCTCCAGGCCAGACCCACATTAACTTGCAAAACTAAAAAACTGGTGCTACTTTGACTTTGGAAGCTGCCCATAGTAGATGACAGAGGAACAGGATTATCTTGGTTAATTTAAAAAAATAAACTGTATTTGGCTAATATCACAAAAGGTACAAATGAATGCGTCAAATTTCCCTCCACTGGATTAACTGGAGAAGAGGAAATCGAGAAGTTAAGACCGGAAAGGATGACATCACTAAGGAATCCTTCACTCGTCCATCTAACCAACATTTATCATGTACCTACTGTGCAGGGGTGGAGGTGATCAAAGATGGAAAAGGAATCACTCTGACCACAATGGTTATTAGAATCCAGGTGGGAAAGTCATGAACACAACTAAATATAATGCATGGTCCAATGACATAAGTGCTGTAGGTAAAGAAAGTCAAAACTCATTCTGCCTGCAGCAATTTGAGAGACTGAACAAAACTCAAGTGGGGTGGAAGGGAGTGGCTAATGGGCTAAGCAGAGTAATGGGGGCAGGCTGCTATCTAAGAAATGCATAATCACCAGCAGGAAGGGACACATGGGACAGTGGGTTATATAGGTGTGGAGCAGGGAGTGGGGCAGGAGGGAAGAGGACAGAGCAGGATCTGGATCAACTGTAGCCTTCATTTGAAAGCTTGTTTATCTTGGTTTCAATAATGAATCCATAGAAAGATCTTTACAAGTTTCAAAGAAAACTTTTTCCGGAAAAGTGAAAATTGTTTTTAATCCTCAAAGCAGGAAGCAGAATTGCAGAAATGTATTATCAGGCTATAAAATGTCACAGATAGGGTTGGAAAGATGGATTAGTGGTTAAGGACATTTGTTGTTGCTTTTCCAGAAGACCCAAATTCAATTCCCAGCAAATACACTGGGCAGCTCACAAGTGCCTGTAACTCTGGGATGGGGCAGGGGTGGGTCTGACACCTCTGGATGCCGAGAGCATCTGCACGCATGTGCACATACTTCCCCCCAAAGATACACATAATTAAAAATAAAAACGGTCTTTTTGTAAGTCACAAATATCCTCTAGCAAGGGTTCAGAAAGCCCAAACTATGCTGTTTTGCTTAGAAAACATTTTCTAAAACAATTCTTTTTCCAGGTTTATGGTCACACTACTGCCAACCTCTAGAAAAAACAGCTATTCATCAACAGCTTTTAAAACCTCCTCTTCAAGTATCTCATTTAGAAGCCCAACACGATGGCACACACCTGGAATCCAAATGTTCAGGAGGTTGAGTTGGGAGGATCACCTGAGCTTAAGAGTTGGAGACCAGCCAGAGGAACATAGAAAGACTCCATTTCAGAAGATAAACCACTAAGAAACTTAATGCACCAAACGTTTAACAAATTGTAGAGCCCCACATGAAGACACAGTCAGAAAAGCAACAAACGTTTGTTAAAAAAATCACAGCAGCTCATGCTTCCTAGTCACATTCAGTGTGTTTCCTATTTACTATTCTGCCCTAAAGGTTAAAAACACACACATTTTGGGGGCTGGAGAAATGGCTCAGCAGTTAAGAGCACTGACTGCTCTTGCAGATAGCCCGGGTTGGGCTCCCAGCATCCACATGATGGCTAACAACTGTCCATAACTCCAGTTCCAGGGAATCTCACACCCTCTTCTGACCTCTGTGGGCACTGCACAATGCGGGTGCATTTACATACATATGAACAATACACTCATACACATAAAATATTTTTTAAAAAAGAAAATATACTAGTACATCTTTAGGCACACAAAATGTGATTTTGGTAATGCAATCTTTATAAAAAGTTGAATATAATAAGATTACCAGCTATGTTTGTAGCAGGTAAGAGGGAAAATGGGGGAAATACAACCAAGACCAGCTATCTACTCGGTCCAGTAAGCATACCCCAGACTCCAAGCTATCTCCTCACTGAAGTTTGCCACAGTAAAGTTTTGGGACCCTGTCAGTTTCCTGATTTGAAGTTCAGTGTTTTATGTCACTTCTTGTTTCTACTTACAGGCTACAGAAATGTCAACTTTAGCTCCATCTCTTGCTTCTTTGTCACCACTTCTTATTTCCTGCCCTTAAATCTATTCACAGAAATTCTCTTCAATGGACCTTGCTTCTATTGCACATTAGTAAATAATGTCTTACTAATACTGTAAATTCCAGATAGAAATCTAACCATCCCCTAAAGAGCCACTTAAAAAACATCTCAGACTATAATGCTTTCTAGTCCCTTTGGGTAAAATTTTGTCAAATCAAATGATACCAGTTAGGAGTTCATGCAATTGGAAACTCTAAGATTTATAGGCCCTGACAGTTGAACCAACCCTATTTTAATTAGGTGGTGATGGTAGAGACAGCAATAAAATAGGGTGATTTAGATCTGCTGAGGA